CAGTTCTCTGGTTCTTCGGAGGCCCCCCTCCGTGACCCCCTACCCCCCTGATAGATCGCCCCACTGGCCAGTGGCCTGGGCCTCCCTCTGCAGGGTGATCGTGCGGCAATGGCGGGGCCCCCTGACCAATTACATCGCACCCGCCTTGGCTGATTTGGCACCAGTGCCTGTCATAGCATGGTTGTACGGAAGGTCATCCGGATGGTCGTTCTGCTCTTTGATCAATTTGTATATTACGCTTTTATTATTATAGATACCCAGAAGAGCTATATGTAGAAATGGCTGGATTCTGTGAATTAACAGAGAATACTATTTGTGGTGGTTGCTGGTTTTTTTATACTGAAATTTTGAAAATATTAAACCGCTCAGCTATGCAATAGAAAGAAAAGGTGTATTTTTTTCTCTTCAAAATGAATATATTTTCATTGTCTGTATAGCTGTGGTATTAAAAACTACTCTTTACCTTCAGAATTGTTCTAGATGAGACATTTTGATTAGTGTAGGTTCCCAAACAACAATATAATCAGTAGACACATTGTAATTGGTCCTAATTTCTTCTTTCAATCACAATAGTATTTTATGGGCTCCAAACTTAGATCACTAGATACATGTGTTCTATTATATTCAGAGCTGAAATATGGCATTGATTTTTTTAAAAAATATTTTTTTTTTATTGCTTTTAGAGAGGAAGGGAGAAGGAGAGAGAGATAGAAACATCAATGATGAGAGAGAATCATTGCCCGGCTGTCTCCTGCACGCCCCGGGGCCCACAACCCAGGCATGTTTCTTGACCAAGAATTGATCTAATGGTTCATAGGTCAATGTTCAACCACTGAGCCACACCAGCCAGGCATGGCATTGATATCCTAATACTTGATGAGATCCTATATGTAGCCTTGACCAGATGTATTTAAAATTACTTCATGAAGAACTGAAAAGCTAATGGGGGCACATTGATGTTATTGGCCTTTAGTAAGCTTTCCACTTGTAAAACTCCAAATTTCTTAGACCCCTTTCAGTTTAACACCCTGGCCACATTTATGTAAATGTTAGTACTTCCAAATTTTTTTTCAACTAATCTTGGCTACATATGTAAACTCTTATTTTTCTTGGATTTTTACAAAAAGACCTTTGTTTTATTCATCTCACAAATCGTATTGCCTGCCTACTGTGTGTTGGCTCCTGCCATGGCCTGTGGGTGCCCTGACCAGCAGCTCAGGCCTTCATAGAGCTTAGACACTAAACCCTCCGTCTGTCTGCTTGTTCCCTCACTAGGCCTCTGAGGGCAGGCCAGGGGGCCACAAGTACAAGTCGTGCTCTCTGCTCTATATATCAGATGTTATTCCATTCCATTCTCCATCACGAAGTAGCCGAGACTTGTGATAGTAGACACAGTCTCATCTCGGGCTCTACAACATGCAGCCTTTATGACCCTGGAAAAGCTACCTGAAGACTCACCTCCTCTGTAGGTTCCTTGTCGCTTACATAGGAGAGAAAGTCCTCACTCGAGGGGGCTGTTTCCAGAATTTACATGTGATAGTATAAATGAGAACACCTACCACCATGTCTCACATGTGGCTGGTACTCACGAAATGATACTGGAGTCTGAGTGATGATTTTTCCTGCCATTTGGGGGAGATTTTGGTAGAGAGACAGAAAGAAGCAAAAAGACATTGAAAGCCTAGTAGCTTTGACATTGACCCAGGGTTTGTTGGAAGGGGAGCATATCTTTTTTCTCTTTGTCTCTCTAATGGTTTAAAGCCTGGGCTCTGGAGACAAGCAGGCCAGACCTGGTGGGGGCTCTGGTTGCCTTGCATAGTAGCTGTGGGCCCTTAGGCAAGTTACTACACCCTCATGGTCTCAGCACCTCATTTGTAAGATTGTGGTGACAGTTAACACATCATAGGTTTTTGGTCAGTATTAAAGGAGATCATGTGTTTTTGATATTTAATGAGAGGATCCTGCCTGGAAAATAAGCACTATGTAGTGAATGGCTTTTTTTTTTTTTACTATTTTGTCATTATTTTAATTATTGCTATTATATTATTGTTGTTGTTTTGATTAGGCCTAAGAGCTACCCTCAGGCATAGACCTTGTGAAGATGTAGCCTTGGTCTAAAGCAGCAATTTTCAACCAGTGTGCCGCAAGAATTTTTAAAACCTGCAATACCTATTTAGTCAGAAGCACTGACTTCTTTTCCCTTAGATTGTCAAATAAAAAAATGACAGCAGCCAGCACAGTAGCCGTCTGGAGTGAATGAATCAAAATTATATCTTTTTTTGGTCACATCAGCAAAAAGTATATTTTTTTGGTGTGCCAAAGAATTTTAGTAGTTTATGTGTGCCATGAGATGAAAAGGTTGAAAATTGCTGGTCCAGAAGCATGAGCGTACCTTTAGTAGAGGAGTTTGAAAAACGCTTTAAAACTATTCAGAATTATCCTTTCTAATGTTAGAAAAGCAGCTAAAAGCATTTTCTCCTAATATACCTCAGTATTGGGCACAGAACAATATAGAAATAAACAGATGACTTGTTTTAGTAGATATAGGATTTTCAGAAGACACTTGTTCAGATTACACATTTGATTTGGGTACATTATAAGCATTCCATTCTTTATCTCTTATTTCATCCTTTCAATTGTTTCTGCCCATTCTGAAGTACCATTTATGTCTCTATAGGTAAATCCATCTAATCACAGACTCCTCTTTGAAGTATTTGATGAGAACAGATTGGTAAGTGGGTCTCAGTTTTTATTTTTGCTTCATTTTTTTAAAAAATTTAATTTTAAAGCAGCTGCTTTAAAAACTGTGTTTATGTTGTACTTCTGACAGTATATATGCCCCTAACCCATGGCTTTATTTTTGTTCCATTACAAATTCATGATTCTAACAAATATTTTCGTATGGCTAGGACAAATTTTATTTGTATGTGTAAATGTTTTTATCATACTTAATATTAGTGAAAGTCACACTGATGAAAGTCACCACATGCTTACTTACACTCTGTTGGGAATACAGAATGATGGGCAAATCTGTAAAGAGGCCATCGCTCATATAAATAAACCTTTCAGGGATTTTAAATATGAGCCAGACTGCACTACTGTCACCTATCCGATCGTGAATCTATTGTGACCCTCCTTGGGGAAACCCAAATCTAATTAACAGTAGAAAGCAAAAAGTGAATCTATATTTAGCAGGTAAAATTAAGCTGTATTTTAAAAGTAGTATTTTCTCAAGGGAAATTAGTAGAAAGTACCTTTAAAGAACTAAAGATATGCCTGAGGCATGAGACTGATAACAAACTAACATTTTATGTAGAGAATGATAGATAGGTAAGATACAGTTATAGTATATATCTATAAACGTGTGTGTCTGATAAAATTAAGATTTCATTTTAGAAATGGAATTTCAGAAGCAAATCTGGCTTGAAACATTTTGCCAGTTACCTAATTAGAATGTAAACATCAAGTACCTGTGAGTCAACTGTTCCAACTATGAAAATGAACTTTCAGTTATGTGCCAGCGCTTTAAAAAATATTTTTTTTACTGATTTCAGAGATGGAGAGGGAGAGAGATATAGAAACATCAATGATGAGAGAGAATCATTGATCAGCTGCCTCCTGCATACCCCTTGCTGGGGATCGAGCACACAACCCAGGCATGTGCCCTGACTGGGAATCGAACCGCAACCTCCTGGTTCATGGGCCAACGCTCAACCATTGAGCCACACCGGCCCGGCTATGTGCCAACTTTTAAGGTACTCTCAGAAGAGGTATTATATAATTCAGTGTAGTCAGTTGTCACTTAAATTTACTTTCCCTGAAACTTTTGTTTTTTGTTTTATTTTGTTTTGTTTCGTTGGGGGCTTGTTAAAATGAATGTTCTTATGAAGTGTTCCTGATGTAGGATTCAACTGAATCAATTTTTAAATAGCTTGAGATTAGAATATTTGGTCTGGAGAAGCCTTATAACACAACTGGCTTACCTCCCTGACCTTGCCGTTGAGAGAGGTGAGGTCTAGAGCCCGGGCATGATTTAGACACTGCAGTCGGCAGTGCCCTGGTGGAAACTGCTGTTCCCCTTGTCTCAGGCCAGTGGTGGCAAATAACCAGGCTCTTCACCCTGATTATAGAATTTGGTTGTGTGTCTAATCTATGCTTGCTATTATTTTCCAAATTAGAGAACCAACATATTCTGGCCTACCCTCCTGATATCTTTTCTATTAAAAATGTATTTAGGTGGCTTTGCATGGAACTCAGCCCTTTTTTTACCTTGGGTGATAATTAGTTGTACTACATAACTAAATCAGTTTTGCTGTGTGTCTGAAGTTATTTTCTTTTTAAATTGAATGGGAGAGTCTGCTGAGGGTGGAGGTCGTAGAACCCCCTCTCTCATCCAGCAAAGACTGTGAGTTAGGCAGTGCTCAGCAAAATGACAGTTGTCCCTGGAGTCACAGATGCATACTCATTTATTGAGTATAGTAACACTTCTTTAAGGTGAAGGCAGGGTCAAATTTGAGGAAAAATTGCCTGTCAGATGTGTTTAATTCAGGACTTAATTTTCTTTATTAAGAGAAATTTAACAAATTTGTTTCTCATTCCCATTATCTAACACAATGACTTGTTGAGATGACCATGCCATGGGGCCCAAATATACTTCCAAACCCTTAAGGGCTTTGAATGCAGAGCTCTAAGAAATCCTGTGTGAATACAAACTTTATCTGAAAAACTATTTGATTATTTTAATACCTAATTTTGCCCCAGGCCATCTGTAGTGTTGTTGTCACTGCTGGTGTTTTTCTCTTTGGCCATTAATCCAGCTAAGAGAATAATAATACATGACTATGGTGGTACTTGGCAGTTTTTTTTATGATTGTTTGTTTGTTTTAGATTTTTATTGATTTCAGAGAGGAAGGGAGAGGGAGAGAGAGAAACATCAGTGATGAGTGAGAATCATCGACCGGCTGCCTCCTGCATGCCCCACACTGGGGAATCAAGCCCACAACCATGTGCCCTTGACCGGAATCGAACCCAGGACCCTTCAGTCCACAGGCTGACGCTCTAGCCACTGAGCCAAACCAGCTAGGGCAGAACTTGGCAGTTTTAGCACTAAACAAACTAGCTTCCATTTCTCTCATAGAGATCATTTCTAGCGTTTAAAACACATGCCTTTAGAAAACAGGTTTGCATGTATGTAAACACAGGTTTAATCCCTCATACCCTCATCTCCAGAGCTGTTGACAAAGTCATGCTTTGCGGATTTTAAAGTAAACTTTTTTTCACTTTTTGCAGCTTAGTATTTTCCCCTCCTATTTTTTTTATACTCCTTCCTAAATAAACCTCTTTGTTAAATAACCAATGTTTCTGGATCATGGAAAATAGTTCATTTAAAACACCCAGAATATATCCAAGTTTACAAATCTGATGACAGTTTTTTTAATGTGGATCTTTAGTTTTCTTTTTTAGCTCCTTTTTGGCCCTTTGCAGAAATAGCAAGATTCTATGCTAGTATCCCAACCATGTTAATATTGCTGACTTCTCACTAGAAAAGTTGGCTCTGGGCAGCTTTTTTTCTGTATGGTATTTAAGTTAACTTACTACGAAAAGCACATGTTCTCCCTTCTTCAATTTTCCTTCCTTTTGTTGAGGGGGGCGGGTAATTGTTTTTTCCCCTTATCTGGCATATGAGAGAAATGTTTTCTCCAGCTGGGTCCCTTTTCTCTGGTACTTCCCTCTCTGACAGCATCTCGTGTGAGAGTTACACACACACACACACACACACACACACACACACACACACACCCTCCCTTCTAACTGAAAAGGGTTATAGTAACAGGAGGCGGACCACTAACTGGCGGTGTGAATATTTGTGCCCCTTGCCCTTAGCTATTTTGTGACTTGTAGATCACGGTCTAATTATTTAGCATTAAAGGGACACTAATTCTGTGGGGTGTGTAACTGTATTTATAGTACCTTTTATTAGTTTGCATTCCATGCGGGTAGTGTGGTGATATCATAAATAACAGGAACGTAACCTCCGAGGCTTGTGAAAGGGTTTTCCTAGAGCCAAGGCATTTTTGCTGGTCGTAATTCGGTCCTGCGGGGAGGTGGGGAAGTGCCGTGTGCGTTGGTGTTTTTAGTGCCAGGTCTCGCGTGGTTAGAGCGCCCAGTGCCTGCTGTGTTCGGAAAGAACTGTCCTGTGAGTGTGATGCGGGTAGATTTATAGCCGCGTGGCTCGGAGTGTGTCTGCTGCCCCAGTCAGCTGTGAGAGCTCCCTGCTGGGGCCACTCCTGTCTGATGGAAAAAAGCAGCAGCTGGGAAGGTGGTGTTTCAGGCTCTTGCTGTTTAAAAAAAAGAGAGAGAGAGAGAGCGAGAGGGAGAAAACTCCACTAAGTCCACAGGCTGGCATTGGAGGGGGAGACGGCGGTCATGTGGTTCTGGCCATCCTACCCTCTGTCACAGTGTGGATGAGAGCTTTTTGCTCTTATCCAATCATGCCTGGAATGCTGCTTGCCACTTGGGTTATTTCTGCTATCTGTCGCTCTCGGTGCCGCAGTGCTAAAGGTTTGGCAGATGGGACGCCTTTTCTTGGAGTTTGTGTCTTCAGTTTTTGACTTCTGGCAGTGCCGGGCGTGTTGTGGCCGCTCGTCCTCTCCCTCCCTGCCCCCCTGGGCACCATGGCCCATCGGCTTCGGTTTCATTTTGGCTCCAGTCGCAGCAACACGGCCCCTGAATCAGAGATCCTCGACCAGGAGAGAGAAGACGACTTTTTCATGGCATTCCACACCCTGCCGCGCAGGAGCGGCCCTCACCCCTGCGCCCACCGCGCTGAGGACGGAGGCCTGCAGGAAGCGGTGGGCGCGCTCAAGCGCAGCACGTCCATGTTCATCCCGCAGCTCCTGAGTCCCATGGACGCGCGGCCCACGCGCAGCTCGTCCATGCAGATCTCGCTGCAGCGCAAAGCGGCCGACGGGGCCCCGGACACGTGCGGGCCACCCGAGGGTCTAGACTGCGACGCAGGGTCAGTGTCTCTGGGCCGCTGTACGGAGCCCCCCAAGTCCCAGACCCCGGAGAACTCTCCACCCAGGGCCACCAGGGGTGTAGGCCCCCACGTGAACGGCATGTGTGGCCACCTAGCACGGAGTCCTGTCCCTGCGGATGGCCGTGAGGAGCCTGAGCCTCGGGGACCCAAGGGTGGCGGGCTCCGGATCCAGCACCGAGCCTCCAGCGCCGACATGCGCCAGGTGAGGCTGACGCAGCCCTTCGGGGCCGATGGACTGTGCAGCTCTTCAACTCCGGAGCCCAGGCGCTGGTCCCTGCAGCACGTACCAGATGCTTCTGGAAGTTCTGGGAAGCGGTGCTTTGTCTTCCAGCTGCAGCAGCCGCCACCAGGCGCGCCGGGTATGGGTGGTGACTTCAACTTTGGGTTCACGGGCACGAAGGGGGACAGGTTGGTGCGGTACCCCCGTATCCGGCTTGAGAGGAGCACCTCGTACCCCACACAGCCCCGAGCAGAGCACAACAGCCCCATGGAAGATCGGGGCCACTTGGGACACCCGGAGACGCCGCCTCGGGGCCGCAGGGTGGCTCCCGAAATCCACAGGACGAATTCCGTGGAAAGGACGCCACAGGGTCAGGGCTGCACGTTTAAGATCAGGCAAGACCAAAATGCAGGGCAGCAGCATTTCAGAATTCTTGTGACTCGCGGACCCGAGGAATCTCATGAGGATCCCAAGGAGAGTACAGACACCAGCTCTGGCTCCACCTTGGCTGGAGCCCCGGTAAGTTAGCTTGTGTTTCCATGTGAGGGACCTAAAGGACTAATTCAAGCCCAGAAAGCTTACTTCGCAGCGCAGTTAAAATAAACTTCATCCTATTCCCTCCGGGAGTTTCCCAGCTTGGGGCAGTGTAACAAGTTGGGCCGACTTGTGGAAGCTGATTTGTGCTCCGGTGTTTGGTAGAGGTCCATGAAACTTGTTAGCATTTCAAAAAATACCTTTTCTTTATGTCCTCAACCTCCAACAACTCAGTTTTGAAAATCCAACCCCCCCCCCCCATTTCCCCTTATGCATAAAAGCATTTAAAAATGTATTACTTTAATCTGCCAGGCCCGAACACGTTGATGTTGGAAGTGCATTTAAAAGCTGCCTGCAAATATAGCCTGGCAGCACTTCTCTTTTACAGTAGTTCTAATACAGGCAAGAGAATATCACCCAAAACTAAAGTGTATGTAAAATGTGAGCAATTCTTCCAGATGGCATTTTTGCTGTAGAGGGTTGGCACTAGTTATTAGCATTTATCCTCTTTATTTGGGTCCCATGAATACTGAACAAGAGGGGGACAGTAAGAAATGCATTTTTGAACCAGATGGGCTGTTGGGTCTCAGCTGGGTGAAACTGACTGGGGGCTGGTTAATGGTCAGATTGCGTGGCCTGCAACTTAACACTGCCCACTCCAGTGTCTAAGCTGGGATGCTGTACATAGAATAGTAAGTGTTCTCTCTCCAGCTGTGGAAACAGATGCTCTAGAACAGATTTTGGCCTTTATTGCTCATATGTTCTTGCTTGCTCCTTTTCAGTGAAATGGAGTACAGAAAAACAGCTGCTAACCCCACTAGGCAAATGATGACTCTGCAGCTTTCATAGTTTATAACAGGATGAAAAGTTTTATCGGTGAGCTTTCTTTTACTAGTAATCATTAGTTTAGCTGTTACGTGTTTTTTTAGGAGAACAAACTCCTTATATTTTGAATTGGAATTTTCCCCTTGAATTTCATGTGATTACTGGTTTGAAGATATGATTATGAAATTTCTGGAGGACTTTCTGAGTGAGTTTCCACAGTGAATTGTGACTTTTCAAAGTGGATGGCTGAGTATTACTGTAGAATGGAATCATCTTTTATGCTTTAAGTTGAGAAATATTTTTGGCCATTCAAGTGAACTTTATCACTGCTCTATCATTGGTATTCACCACTTTGAAAAGGTTATCAGATACTAAATACAAATATTATCTTTTTCTTGGTATTATGTAACTGTTTCTTCTTATCTCTTCCATATAGCCCTTTTATTATCTCTAACCCCATTATTAGGCAATGTTGAAGTGCTTTTTCTTGGTCTGGACCGATACCATTTTTATACAGTGGTTCAGATGTCAATAGAATTTTGATATTAGAATAGCCTTTAACCTTCACCCATCATGGCAGGGAGAGGCTTTGTTGGGCAGCACAGTTCCAAACACAGGAAAATTGACAAAATGCATTTTCTAAAGTTTTGATAACTGTTCAATTATATTACCAAAGTCTTAAAATTATTTTTGCAGTTAGATATCAAGGAGAAATGGAGTTATATAATTAAAGTCTCATTTGCCTTGAAGTTTCTAATGTAATTACAACATAAATAGAAAATAGTAAAAATTATGTATACCTTACATATAAGGGCTGTCGCAACTTGCTTGGGAGGAAAAATTTAAATTAGTGGAAAATGAATTTCTTTGCATTTGGGAATTTAAGTTCTAGAATCAAGAGCTCTTTCTGGAGAATACATTCTGTCCAGCATATGGTAGTTTTCATTTTCAAGGTGTATTTTTGTACACATACATACCTTTGTAAATGGTTGGTACAAAGCTGGTTTTCTTTTAAGCCAAAACATTTTCCTTTAAGAAGCAAAAACAAACCTCCTCCCATAATGAAACTGCCTGCTCCATTCAACACTTTGTACGTTTTTCATACGGGCAGGGGTGTGAAGTGGAGGCAGCAGCTGCCATGGCCTTATTTATCTTGAGGGAAAACATTCACTGGGGCGTCTATGGTCTGGCTGCCAGCAAGCTTTTTTGATGTTTCAAATATCTGCTGCTTTGGCCAGAAGGGCATTCCATGATTAGTTTACATGAAAAATTAACTAAACTCTATTGCAGTCTGGTTTTTGAATGATGTCAGAAATCTTGTTTGGGAAAATCACTCAGGACTTTTTTGACGAAAGTACTCGTATTTCATAATCTATGCCTTAGACCTTTTTCCAAGGTTAACTTTTTGAGTGCTTTTCTCAGTTTGTGCCTCCAAACATTCTGTCATGAAAAAATCTAAAATGCAACATGACTCCAAAAAATGTTAACCAGCTAGATTCCTAGAAAAAAATACATGGGAACAAACCCCTGTTGCCGACAGATTTTCCACTCGGTCCGACACTCCCAGTAAAATAGAATTGGTTCTTACAGTCATCGCTTACAGTATTGAAGAAGCCTGCAAACTTTCATTCAATTTGTGACATTATTAATAGTCAGTTATTTTCTGAAAGAGGTTTTTGAGTTATTTGGTCTCATTATGAGCTTCTTGACTACATTAGAGTTATTCCAAGGAAGTTGAATCACTGTTTACCAGCATTTATGCCCCCTTCAACACAGTTTCATGCGTAATAACTTGTGAAGCTCTGCATTTTACGAGCTTCGGGAGCCAGTATGAATCTCATTATTGTAATAAGTGTTTAAGGCCCACTGTGTATGAACTTTACACTAGGTACTTGGAAAGTTTCACAGACTCTCAGTTTCTTGCTGACACAGAGTTCGTAATGTAAACAGAGGGAGGAGAGCCCATGGAAGGCAAAGACGCATTCTAACATCCACCACGTCTATTAATAGGGGAAGGGAGTGTTCCTTCTTTACTTCCTCTGTGCTTTTCCCTGTGCCCCCTCAATGCACATACACTTCATAGAAGTAATGTAGTATCTTTTGTAATTAAAAATTCATTTTCCTGAACACAAAGGACTATGCCAAACTGTTTTTATTTGGGAGGAATTTTAGTTTGACTCTCTTAGAAAAGGGTGATTTTACTATGCAGAAGAATTTTGACGGTATTGGTATCTCTCTTTTACCCTAAAAAAATAATTGTATGAATATACATCTAAACCACCTTTTACTAAAAAACACCACATTGTAATGGATAAGAAAAAAGCTAGTATTCCTTTTACTGAGTCAGTTTCTGATTGGATTCTGTAAAGTTTTACTCCCTTCCATATAATAGTACTTTATCTTGCTGTGGTCATATATGAGAATGCCCCAATATTATGTAACAAAATTTTATAACTGTTTTCAGGGATGTACTGAAACATGTAGGCAGTGCACAGTGTTAACACTGATGTGTGTTTTCACATCCAGACACAGGACTTGTAGTGAGAGCTCAGGTTTCTGTAGCAGTCAACATTTGAAAAGTGCCTTCATTTACTTCATTAGTCTATATAATTATCCATTGCAGAAGCATCCTCTCACTCAGCCTTCCCAACAACCTTGTAAAATAGCCCCTTTCCTGTTCCAGGTGAAGGTATGTGATATTGTCATTAGTTATAACTAATACTAGAGGCCGGTTGCACAAAGAGATTTGTGCAATAGGCCTTTCCTTCCCCTGGTTGCTGGCACCGGATTTCCTTCGACACCCGGGACCCAGGCCTTCGCTCCAGACGGAGCCTTCAGTCTTTGCGGCGGCTCCGGACCGAGCCTATAGTCTTCGCTCCACAGCTTGCCCCTATGTATGCAAATTAACCGTCATATTTGTTGGGTTAATTTGCATACTCTCCGGAATGTCTGGTGAACATAGCGGAGGAGCGGTTAATTTACATGTTTATCTATTATTACATAAGATACTGTCATATCACTTTATGTATAATGGGAATTTTAACACTATATCTTTGCACAATTAAAAAACTCGTGTAATTCCCCCTCCCCCCCAAAATGTAGTTTAATGCTTCCTGAAATGGGACATTTTTGTTGAAAATTTTGGAAGTGGTAACTCCACCTGGTGCCTTGCAGCCTAATGGAGAGAAGGAAGCATCTTTGGAGATCCGCAGAGCCGGTTTGGCAGTTGACTGACGTGTCCTGGGGTAGTTAGGTGCCCTCTCTGAGTATACTGCCTCATAACTGAAAAATGAGCATAGAAGTGTCCATCTCATAGGTTTACAGTGAGATTTAAATGTGTAGTGTATGTGGACATACCTGATTGGTGTTCATGTTGGTTTTTTCCTTCTTAACCAAATATCTGTAATATATAAATCTTTCTCCGAGGAAGATAATGAGGTTAATTGTGAACAACCAATTTTTGATCAGCATGGCATTAGACACAGGGCAACATGAATTTGAGGCCTATCTGGAAATGTTTGCTTGAATAACTAGCCTTGATATCTAATGTCGTCTCATTGGTACTGAGTATTTGTCTGTTGGATAATCAGCACCACAGAGCCCTAACACTGCTCTGTGATGATGCAGCCTCCCCCCAAAAACTTGAATTAATTCATGAGCTATGCGTTGTAGCAAAGGATCTTCACTTGTATTTGCTGTATTGAGTTTGAAACTGAAACGTTTACTTCCGGTGGTATATCTGACATGCTATAATTTTACCATGTAATTTGCTATAATGGTTCCAGTGATTAAGTTTACTTTTACTTCTTATAGGCTAAGGCTTCATCAGTCTAATGTCACCTGTTTAAAATTCCCTCCCTGAGTGACTTACAAATGAGGGCAGAATTTGGGAAGAGCCCTTATTAGATACTGCCTTTTAGAGGATTTTCATAAATGCCGCAGCCACTTCACTTGACTAAGCCCAGAGGCAGAGTTCCTAAGCATTGAAATAAATCTATAATTTTGTAACACATGTTAATATGAAAATTGTTATCTGTACATGAAAGTTCACAAAACCAGAAGTTTAGTCCATGTTAGAATTTAATAAATATTGGGTTTCTTTGTAGAGTTCATGGTTTAAAACTAATTGAGGCTAATCTAAGTGGTAATCTATTTGTGTA